ACACACACACACACACACACACACACACACACACACACACACACACACACACACACACACACACACACACACTGTTTTCAGAAAGTCACAATTTAACCTCAGGTTTTAGAGAACAGCCAGTTGTTCTGAAGAGCTTTTGCTGAGTCATTTCTCCTTTCATAGATTTTTTAAATTCATTTTCCGTAACTCTGATAACATCCTGAGCAGCATTTTCCCACTTTGTCTCATTTCATATTGATTCTCTAAAAATCTATTTAGCTGTCAGAATAGTGTAACTGCCCAGTCTTTTATCATTTTTACTACTGCTTATACTGTATAGTTTCATTAATGATATATTTCACTGTAACTTTTAGATAAAAGTTTCAGTATTTGAAAGGTAGGAAATGAAGCATTTTTTATAGTAATTTTTTTAGCTAAAATATCTGGAATATTCATTGTTTTTTTAATACACATTTTGACATGTTGCATTGCAAACTTGCTTACTAAAATAGAAAAATGAAATGTACAAAAAGGTTTAAAATTTATTGTTTACACTGCAATAAAGTGTCCCATACCTGACTTTTTCCCCAACTGTAACTTGTCTCTGACTTGAGTCTGAAGTCATTTTGAACATCACACATTAGATTTCCTCTTCCCCACTCCCAATCAGACAGACTAATTTCATATGCAGCTCTAAATCATCTGATGTTTTCAAAGCGATCTCAGTCGAAACAGTCATGTCACAGGTCATCTGACCTTTACATCATTTAAATATGACAGACGAAGGCAGGAAGCTTCAAGTTAAAATCTAAACGTTGGACACAGCAGGTGTGGCAGATTTGTTTGCTTCAACAACAACTTTAAAATTATTCCACACTTTCTCACATTGTAGCATTTGTATTACAGCCTGCTGACCTGTCGTCTTTTGAGTATGTAGGTCATTTCAGGGCTGCAGACTGTTCACAGTAAAGTCTGACCGAGTTGACATTTAAACTATAATGTCATAAAATGAGCAAAAATATCAGATTTAAAAATATTGGAATTGAGAATTTAGACCTGGAGTGTGAATCGAGCCTAATGTATTGAAAATATTCTCTCAGTGATTACATAACTAAGCATTGGTTTCCATAACTGGAAGTCGAACATTTAGTTCTAGCTGACTTTAAAAAATGGCAACATACTCCACAAAAAAGTGAAACAAAAGCTACATTAGTTGCTGATGTAGCTGCTTGTCTTCCCCTTTTAGACAGTAGTTTGGTTAGCACCCATCATTTTATTTGTTTCAGATACAGAATGTGAAACAAAAGCTGTTCCATTGCAAGCTGAAGACCCTTCAAACTTAACGAAACTCTAACTTTACATTATATAAAGTTTTATTCAGCAGCATAATCACATCAATTAATTTACCACAAAACAATAAACTCGTCATGTTTGAGCTTTTAGTCCTTTAACAGGCTTCTTAAAGACTTGTCAGCAGCCAATTCAAACTGCCTCAGGAGTTGCCGTCAGAGTATTTATAGGTATCTATTTATATGAATCTTTGTTTCAGTCATGGACAGTAAGGCTGGAAGTGTTTAATGTTTATCTAAATAGGCTGAAGGCTTTTTTTTCTTCTCACTGCATCCATCGTTTTTACAACCCAGATGAAAAGATGTTGTTTCTGTATTGTTTTACCAAGGATTAATGAAGACTTGAAGGTGCTTTTTTTCCCTTAAGACTGAGGGAACTGCCATTCATGCTAAACCTATCTCCTTTTCAGTGACCAAACAAAAAACAACCCCTCCCCTGAACAGTTGATGCAGCCTTTTTAAAGAGGAACCATTCTGCCTGTTTGGTTGTCATTTGAACTATCCTTTGTGCAGTATTGGAGTTTGCTCAGTGCTGTAAAACAAACCAAGAAGGAGCGCCACCAAGCTGCCCAAATTTATAGATCTTTTGAAGCGGTGAGACTCAGCTTTTCCATTTAAAAAACAAAACAAAAAAATAAACTCCTGACTCAGCTCAGGTTTTGCAGTGCATGTAGTTGTGAAGATAAACACAGTTATGTAGTTCCCTGTTTTGTGGCACTTTATTCATCCAGAAAACCATTGATCTGACTTTAAATTTAATTTTAAAATATTTGTGTACTGTTTATAAAAACATGACTCCCAGAGCATTTGAGATGCAATGTGACTTGTGTGACTAAGTGTATGACAGTGGGGGCTGGGCTCTCTTGACAGTCTCGTGGTTACAGTAGCAGATAGTGGAGGCCTGGGGGTCTTGCGGTGGCTAAGTTATGTAATCTGTGGGATGTCATTACTAAAGGACGCCTACAGTGTGAGGAGATGAACTGTAGAGACAACTGCAGGCGCTTCGCTCCCAAGCTGAGCGGGATGCCAGGATGAAACACCAGGACATCAATTCTCCTCTAATTCCTGGATCATGGCTGAAGTACTTTCATAAGATCTGACTAAATATGAGAGGTCTGGAA